GCGCGTCGCGCGGCGCGCCGCGCGAAGAGTGCGTGCTCTGCAGCCACGGCGTGGAGCAGACGAGGTCGCTTTCGGCTCAGGGGGGGGCCTCCAGCCTTCGGGCCTCTCCCCAGGGGCCGCGGCAGGAGCGCGGCTCGGGCAGCAGAGGTCCAGGCCCCCATCGGCCAGAGGAGGAGGAGGAGGAGGAGGGGGAGGAGGAGGAGGAGGAGGAGAAGCGGGGAGAGGAAAAGGAGGAGGAGGAGGAGGAGGAGGAGGAGGTGAGGAGGAGGAGGAGGAGGAGGAGGAGGAGGAGAAGGGAGGAGGATGAGGAGGATGGAGGAGGAGGACGAGTGAGGAGGAGGGAGGAGGAGGAGGAGGAGGAGGAGGAGGGGAGGAGGAGGAGGAGGTGGAGGGGGGCCGTGGTCGTTGGCCGAGGGCTTCGCCGTGGCCCGAGGGAGCCCTCCTTCTCCTGCTCGGCGGCCGCCGCCCAACGGCAGCACGGCGGCTGCCGCTGATCTGGCCGTGCGGTTCGCTCATGGCGCACCCTCCTTGGAAGGGTGCAGTGCCAAGGAACAGTGTCCCCCCTCTCGTCTTCGTCCTCTCCTCCTCTCCTCCTCCTCCTCCTCCTCCTCCTCCTCCTCCTCCTCCTCCTCCTCCTCCTCCTCCCCCTTCCTCCCCCTCCTCCTCCTCCTCCTCCTCCTCCTCCTCCTCCTCCTCCTCCTCCTCAGTCGGCGCTGGTGTTCTCCCTCGTCGAAAACTGGCGTGCTGCGGCCTGGTCCTGCCTGGTCTGGCCGAGGCCCGCTCAATCCAGCTCACCCTGGGCTGAAGCCGGCCCCATCTGCATCGGGGAGGCCCTCTTTTTCGGGCTCGATCGCCTTACATCGTTCCGACAGAGGCCCCCCAGGAGTTGCCTCCCAAGGTCTAGGCCCCCTAGATGGGGTCCGAGCAGATGGGGTCGGAGCACCGCGCCGCATCGCCGATGCATCGACCCTGCGGCTCGATGTGGAACCCGTGTCTCCCCACGACGACGCCGCCGATGCCTCGCCGATGCCGCCTCGCCCATGCCTCGCCCAACGCTTCGCCGGTGCCTCGCCGGTGCATTGGCGATTCATTGGTGATGCGGCGCGATCTGTTGACCCCAGCTGCTCGGACCCCATCTAGGATCGGGCAGGACGAAAGGGGGGATTGGGAAAGGGGGGGTTACGAAACCTGCTGCATGCAGCTGTTCTCTGCCTCGCCGAGGGGCCCATTCCTCGATACGTGGCCGCCTCCGGCGCCGGGAGGCGCCGGGAGAATCAGCTACGTGAGCTGATTCTCAACCCCCCCTTTTGCTATCCCCCCCTTTCGCCCCACCCGAATCTAGGAGGCCTCTACAATGTCGCCTGCGCCGTTCCTAGGGGAACAAAAAGTGGCATGAACATAACAACTCGGAGCTCCGCGCGGATTTCTCGGATCGGCGCTGGACCCCCCTCCCTGGCGCGCGGAGCGCGCCCGGGGCGGCGCCGGAGGCGCCGCCGGGGGGCCCCAGCGCCGACCCGAGAAATCCGCGCGGAGCTCCGAGTCTTCTATGTTTATGCCACTTTTTGTTCCCCTTCCCCTAGGTCCTGGTGCCCCCCAGCCGCCGCGGGAGGTCCCTGCCGGCGGCGCCGGCTTTCTGCCCGCCCGCCGGCGCCCGCCGGCCCGTGCCGTCGCCGTCGTCGCCGCCGCCGTCGCTCCGCTCACGTCGTCGTCGTCGCTGCGTCACGTCGGGCGTGTCCCCCTACAGGGGAATGTTCGACGAAAAATTAAAAATACCCGAAAAATATTCCAAGAAGGTCAAAAAGATACCCCAAAAATAGTCCCCAGACTATTTTTGGACTGTTTTTTCCCAACCCTCCTGCGTTGGGTTCTCGTTTTGAATAGAGCACTGCTCGCGCGAACCTTCCTTCCCGTTCCTCTCTCCCCCCCTGCCTTTTACCTGGCTTTTTTATTCTCTTTCTTGTTATTTTTTTTTTTTTATTTTTTGGTTTTTTTTTTCGCGTTTTTTTTGTATTTTTCTATCGTCGCTGCGTTTCGAGGGCTGCTGGCGGGCTGCGATCTGTGAAAACTGTCCGCCACTTTTCAGAGGGGGTCTGCTGGGGGGCCAGCACAGTGGGGTACCGACGGCGGATTCAAATGGGACCTCGCCATCGCTGGGGGGCTGCGATCTGTGAAACTGTCGCCACTTTCGAGGCCTGCTGGGGGGCCCAGCGGAGTGACGCCCTACGGGGATTCAGATTAGACCTCGCCATCCCTGGGGGGCTGCGATCTGTGAAACTGTCGCCACTTTCGAGGCCTGCTGGGGGGCCCAGCCAGTGGGTACACACGGCGGATTCAAATTGACCTCGCCATCCCTGGGGGGCTGCGATCTGTGAAACTGTCGCCACTTTCGAGGGCTGCTGGGGGGCCCAGCACAGTGGGTACCCACGGCGGATTCAAATGGGACCTCGCCATCCCTGGGGGGCTGCGATCTGTGAAACTGTCGCCACTTTCGAGGCCTGCTGGGGGGCCCAGCACAGTGGGTACCCACGGCGGATTCAAATGGGACCTCGCCATCCCTGGGGGGCTGTGATCTGTGAAACTGTCGCCACTTTCGAGGCCTGCTGGGGGGCCCAGCACAGTGGGTACCCACGGCGGATTCAAATGGGACCTCGCCATCCCTGGGGGGCTGCGATCTGTGAAACTGTCGCCACTTACTTACCTCGCTCGTCGCTGCGTTTCGAGGGCTGCTGGGGGCTGCGATCTGTGAAACTGTCGCCACTTTCGAGGGCTGCTGGGGGGCCCAGCACAGTGGGTACTCACCGCAGACTCAAATGGGACCTCGCCATCCCTGGGGGGCTGCGATCTGTGAAACTGTCGCCACTTTCGAGGGCTGCTGGGGGGCCCAGCACAGTGGGTACCCACGGCAGATTCAAATGGGACCTCGCCATCCCTGGGGGGCTGCGATCTGTGAAACTGTCGCCACTTTCGAGGCCTGCTGGGGGGCCCAGCACAGTGGGTACTCACCGCAGACTCAAAATGGGACCTCGCCATTCCCTGGGGCTGCGATCTGTGAAACTGTCGCCCACTTTCGAGGGCTGCTGAGGGGCCCAGCACAGTGGGTACTCCGCAGACTCATTAGACCTCGCCATCCCTGGGGGGCTGCGATCTGTGAAACTGTCGCCACTTTCGAGGGCTGCTGAGGGGCCCAGCACAGTGGGTACTCACCGCAGACTCAGATTAGACCTCGCCATCCCTGGGGGGCTGCGATCTGTGAAACTGTCGCCACTTTCGAGGGCCTGCTGGGGGGCCCAGCACAGTGGGCTTCCCGCACGTCTTTCTCCTGCTCTTCGTTCCCGACTCCCCATGTCCTCTTCGAGCCTGTAGTTGTCGCCCCTCGTTCTTGTATGGTTCTCCTGCGCATCATGCCATTGGCGCGTGTCCCAAGTAGCTTACATATCAAACAACGGATCCTGCAATTTGATTGTCCGTGCAAGTTTCGGCCAACTCCTCGTTTCCCATGATCCAAATGGGTTGGGTACGTCACAGGGTAATTTGATTGTTTTGGGGGTATTTTTTATTCTTCGTCGAAAATCCCCCTGTATGGGGGACAGGCCCGACTTACTCCTGGCGCGCCCCAGGGCGCGGTGCCCCTTCTCGGCGGCCAGCCTGGGGGCGGGAGGGGGCGGGCCTTACAAGAGGGCTCAGACGTCCTCTGGCCGCACGAAAACTTTTCGAAGCCTTCCCGAGTGGGGGGCCACATGCGAACCCTACCCCTGCGGTAGGTTCGCGTCGTGTCGACTGGCGGCGACCCCGCCGCCGACATTCAACGTTGAACGCCGACGGCG